ATGCATGCTGAGTACGATGTGCGTTTTCATCGCAACCGACACGATTCTGCTCTACATGGTGCAACACGTTTGCGGCCTACTGTCCCTTGCTGGGTAATCATCACCATTTCCATTTTTAATCATAAAACAATAGCAAGAATACAACGAAACTAGAGGAGCTTGTTGATTATTAAATTTTATACTTCTGTTTAAATATTGTTGAACATTATCGTAGACATCGTTTCAAGTATTCCATGGGCACCGGTTATTCACTGACAAACTCAGAGAAAATCAACAAAGAGTTGGTGTACAAGAAAGTATGTTACGCTATTAAAACTCACAAACGAGCTCTCACGTTAGTATCGTATGAACAAATTTACAAAATAAGAAATAGATCGCGCTTGTTAAACGAGATTTAACACCAGGTTTCTCACCGAAATCGAGAGCGTGTATGCTCTGAATCTATTCATACAAGTGGGTGTAGTCGTATTGACATTTACTATCACATTACTAAAAGTGAGTGACGTCTTGCTCTTGATCTAATACGCGAAATTAATAATGGTGCAAATATGAATTGTCTAAAACAATAGGTAGCTTCGGTAACGCTGACTATGGAGACTTATCAATATTACGGATTCCTTGTCACTCAGCTGATACATATCTTCTTTCTAACGGTTCAAGGCCAATTCGTGATCGACTTGCATGACATCGTCTACCAGGAGGGGTGAAAAATAAACATACTTTGAATGTTGTTCTTTAATATTTAGAAAAATAAACTTCTTAAAAATTTGTTTTATCACACGAGATTTTTCCATGTTAATATACTAGCAATGAATTTATTATTTAATTATTAGTGTCAGATTTGTGTATAGTATTATGTTTTATAGAATGTTCGTATAATATTCTATAGGTACCATACATGCTGGTATTATGCAGACGTGAGGACACAAGCATTGTTAGTTCTGGTATTACGGAGAAACCTGCTTCCTCCTTTATTAACCGCCGGTGGATTAATACAATTAAAATTGGACAGTTTTGCTGAGGTAAACTAATAAACAATTAATGAGATAGTTGGTCTGTATTTATTAGTGCTTTCGTTTCAGATCGTGAAAGCGAGTGTTTCGTACTTCACCGTATTGAAATCAGTTTAAACATTGTAGTTAAATGAACAGAAATAAAGAACTAGTGTGAAATAAACATTGAGCTACATAAAACATCTGAATTTTATATAGCTCAATGCTAAAACCCAATAAATCTGTATTGTACATGATGCAAATGCAATAAAACTAATTTAACATTGTTATAGTTATAGAAAATACAATGGGAGCAATAACAATTAATT